AGAGCACTTCCTTCTGGGCACCAGTTTTCGAGCACTGTTTCATCATCCGAAGAGACTGACTGCTTGCCAGCAGTAAATGTGCTTGGCTAGTTCTGTGTTTGATGAAGGGATTTGAGAAAACAAAAGGGAAGAAGAAAACAAACAGTTATTAAGTGACTTGTAAACCTAACTGTCTTTATGTACTATCTAAATTACTCTCACAACAATATCAGAAATAGATATTACTGACCTCAATTATGACCATAAACAAAGAATTCGGCTGAGCAATCTGTTCAAGGTAAGTGGTGGACAATGACTTCATTTCCAAATATTTTTTTATCTTCAAAATCTCCTCTGAGGTTTTTCTGACCTCTGGCTGAGTTACTTGATTCTCCTGTTTGCATCACCAGGACTCTGGGTTTATTTTTTTAGATGAGAATTATGACATTTTTATTTATATCTTTAAAACATTAAAGATATAAAGGTATAGTGGCTCATACATATAATGTATCCAGTGAATATTTATTGACTTATTACATGAATAAATGAAAGAAAGTAGGCATACAGAATTTAATTCAATGTTACCTTTGTATATAAATTTATCTCTCTGGTAACTTCATGAAGATGAAAAGTATAGAAGCCAGCACTGGAAATTTATGCCTAAACTTCAGCTGAATTATTCCTGGACATTTTTGTTTTAACAACAGAAATTTTATACTGCATTGCAATCACAAAGTGCTTTCACATATATTATTACTTTTGACTTTCACAATATCACTGGTATTCTTCAGATGAGAAAACTGAGCATTACAGAAAGTAAATACATTTTCTAAAACCTTGGAGCTAATTAAGTGACAGAGCTGGCCCTGTAACTCTTATTTTCTGATCTTAAATTTTGTCCTTTTTATCTACCATTGCATAGCTTCCTAATTTTGTTCATTATTTACTTATCTCCTATAGTTCAAAAATTCTACAAATATCTTTCATTTTTCTTTTCACATATTCATTCAGTGATTTATGGATTTATTCACACAAAAGTGTTGAATTTTTGCTATGTGCCAGGTACAGTGACTGCAGCTTGAGGAAATGGACGTAGTCCTTGTGTTTGTGAAACATAAGGTCTGGGAGAGAAAAGAGGTGTTAGGCAAATAAATACCCACATAGATATAGGAAGAAAGTGTTTATGAGTGCTGGAGAATGAAAAGCATCAGGTGACGTAAAGGAGGAAACAAGGTGAGGTTCCATTTAAATTGTTCAAGTCATAAAAAGCTTTTCTGAAAAAGAGACATTTAAACTGAGACTTGAAGTAAATGTTGAAATTAATCAGGAGCCTTTGCATAGAGCCTTCCATGTAGAAAGAAATCCTATGCAAAGCCCACGAGGTAAGAGTGAGTTTGAAGGGTAAGAAAACAGACACAAAGTCAATGCAGGTGGGAAACTGAAACTAACGAGAGGCGAGCAAGGCAATGCTAGATTGGTAGGCAGAGGCCAAACGATGCAGAGCATTGAACCCCATGTTAAAGATTTGACATTTTATTCTAAGAGCAATGGGCAGTCTAAAAGGTTCTAAGCATGGAAGGGAACTCCTGTTTGTTTTTTAAAATTTCTTAAACAAATTATTTTTGTCATTGGGTCATCAAAGACAACAGCTAAATAAAACAATTACGGTCTCAGATAGTACGCAGGTTATTCTAAATGTATTTTGGAAATAAACTCAAAGGGATTTGGTAATGAATTAAATAGGGAATGGGGAAAGGGTTAAGGGTTGCTCCCAGGTTAAGTCATGAGCTCCTTGGTATGGGAGGCTGAGATGGGAAAGGTAAAAATGGAGAGAATTTCGGAGAAAGGTCAAGAATCCAGTTATGCACAAGTAAATCGGAAATGCCTGGGAAATGGCCAGGAGATAGTTGAATATTTAAATGTAGAGCTCAGAAGTCTGAAATGTAATTTTAATTCTTTACCCTTCCTCAGTAATAATTGTCAAGGAATCAACATTGACCACAGCTTTCATCATCCTACTTATGCATAAACCCATCACCCAGAACAATGCTTGGCACAAAGTAGACTTTAAATAAATAATTTTAGAATTAGCCATCAGAGAAACGCAAATTAAAACCACAATGAGTTATCACCTCACTCCTGTCAGAATGACTGTCATTAATAATCAACAAACAACAAGTGCTGGCAAGGATGTGGAGAAAGGGGAACCCTTTTTTGCTGTTGCTGGGAATGCAGATTGGTGCAGCCACTGTGGAAAACAGTATGGAGATACTTCAGAAAAACTAAAAACAGAACTGCCTTAAGACCCAGTGGTTCTACTTCTGGGAATGTATCCAAAGAAACCTGAAACACTAATTTGAATGACTATAGCACCCTTATGTTAATTGCAGCGTTATTTACAGTCATCAAGATTTGGAAGCAGCCCAACTGTCCATCAGTAAATGAGTGGATAAAACAACTATGGGACATTTACACAATGGAATATTACTCGGCCATAAAAAAGAAGAAAATTTTACCCTTTGCGATAGTATGGATGGACCTGGAAAGCTTTTTGCTAAGTGAAATAAGCCAGTGAGATAAAGAGAAATACCATATATTTCATTCATATGTAGAATCTAGTGAAAAAACTGAACTAATAAGCAAAATAGAGACCGACTCATAGACAGAGAGCAGGCCAACAGCTCCAGGGGGTGGGTATTTGGGGACAGAGGGATACAGTAAAAAGGAAAAAGGACTCATGGACATGGACAACAGTGTGGTGATTGAGGGAGAGAGGGAGGGAGGAGGGTTTAAGGGGGATAAATAGCAATGAAAAAAATACAATAAAAATAAATGTTTACAGAAAGATGGGTTATGTAAATTTCTTGGTACTCAATAAAAGCTCAGTAAAAATCCTTGTTGCTGTAAAACTACCTTTGATATTTAGTGAAGGAGATGCGCTGCCACAGGTGTGGTACAGGTGCCAGTCAACCCATAGCCATAGGCAGCAGAGCATCGGGTTCTTCCATGGAAACACTGGAACCAGCACCAGCTGCCGTGCCTGGGGAGATGAACATCAGCTTGCCCAGAAATGCCTTTTAAGGAAACATCCCTCAGGAAGAGATCATCCTGGAATCCTGTCTGTGTTCCATCACTCACATCAGAGCCTGCAGCGACCCTTTTGACTTCGCCATCATTATACGCCTGGAATCGGATGAGTTCCCACCACCTGCACAACAGCTTCCCTAGCGGAGGCCTTCATCATCTCTTGGCATCATTTTGGAATGTTCTGACTAGTCTTTTTGCTCCCTATGTCTTTGTCATCTCCCTGAAAACCTGTTCTCTACAAAGAAACACCAGTTATTTTTTTAAATTGTAAGTAAACTCGTGCCATTTCTCTGCTCCAAATATCTCTTAGAGAATAAATGCTAAATCCATGAAAAAGCTCATGAGTGTGTACCCAGTCTGCATCTGCCCTCTTCCCACTACCTTCTCCCCCTGACCTCCCCTGCTCCCATTCTCATCTGGCCACTCTGCTCTAACCACACTGGTCTCCTGCTGTTCTTCATTCATTCCCCAATACTCTTATCCTCAGGCCTCTGCGCTTGCTGTTCCCTCTCCCTGCAACTCCCTGCCTGCAGATGCCTGCACAGGCTGCTCCTTACCTCCTTCGAATCTTTGCACGTATCACATTAAGAGAAGCTGCCTCTGAATATCCTACGCAAATTTCAACTCCTTTCTTCCCTTCTCTACAACTCTGGTTCATTTATTCCTTCCTGACATCATCTATATTATTAATGTATATCTTTCTATTGCTTATTTCCAGGTAGTCTGTAAACCCCATTAAGGTAAGGTAGGGATTTTGTTTTGTTTTATTTGGTTTAACTTCGTTTACCGCTGTATTTCCAATGCCTAGAAAAGTTGCAGGGAAAAGCAGACCTTTAATAAATATTGATTAAATAAATGAGTGTATAAATGAATGAATGAATGAATGAATATATGAGAAAAGTGTCTAACTCAGTTTTCTGGTGTGGTGCCTTCCACACACTCTCTCACTTTGTGCATTTTCTAGATCTGATTCAACTAGCTGAGAAGAAAATGAAGATCAGCCAGCTTCTTGGAGTATCAGAAAGTGGACCAGGCAGAAGTTTAATAAAGAGAAGTTTCTGGGATCCCTTGAAGCTGACATATCAGTTGGTTGAATATAAGTGCTCCATACATCTGTGGGGACTCTGGCTAGCCTAATACCATAGAAGGTGCAAAGAACAAATTTAAATTCTTCCAAAGAAGGTGTTGTTTTCTATCTGAGTGATACCAAAATAAATGTTAAAAGGAAAAAGTCAAATCATTCCTTTTGAGTATCATGTGCATAAAGTACCTCTTCTTTTCTATTTTTTAAAGTAAGTATATCATTCATATATACACAAGTCCAAGGGATATTGTCTATTGTGATTATTATTATATTACACTTTTATTCAGTGATTACAGATTAGCATTTGTACACAGTCCCCAATGGTCACAGTTTCAAGCTGTATGTCATGTCAGTGTTTTGTAGGTAAACCACCGTCCTACAATCAGACACAGAACGTCCTTAATTGGTTGAGCTATCTCTCTGCAGCTCAGGAGTTGCCATGGATAGCGATATCCAAGGGCATGAATGTTTGGAGTACACTTTAACAACTTCTCTGTGAGTTGAAACTTTCCTATGTTAGCACAACTTTTGTTTCAGTTGTTTGGAAAGATCTTGAGAGTTTCAGCCACCCCATGTGTGTTTCTTTGCACTTTCCTGGTTTCAGCTATTTTTTTTTAAAGAAGGGCCTAAATCTCTATAATCCTATTGCCACAGATGAGCTAAAAAGAAATCACCACCTTCTTTTCCCATCACTGAACACAGCTTTCGGTAACATTTTGCACAAGAATAGGGTATTGGCAACTCAACTGTTAAACTTGTCTGTGATTATTCTTCCCTGAGATCACTCTGATGTCACCAGTGTAATTTGAGCCTGGAGCTTTTGTTCCAGCTTTAAATAGCAGTCCTGGAATGATTTTGCTACAGACTCTCTGGAGAGCCTGGGAGCTGAATTCCCGAAGAGCCCACATCTATGAAAGCAAAGCCAAGTCGCCAAGCCATCACCATGTCCACCTCGCTGAGGGTCAGCCCGTCCATCCACGGCTACCACTTCGACACAGCCTCGCGTAAGAAAGCTGTGGGCAACATCTTTGAAAATATCGACCAGGAATCACTACAGAGGCTCTTCAGAAACTCTGGGGACAAGAAAGCAGAGGAGAGAGCTAAGATCATTTTTGCCATAGATCAAGATCTGGAGGAGAAAACACGAGCGCTGATGGCCCTGAAGAAGAGGACGAAGGACAAGCTTCTCCAGTTTCTGAAGCTGCGGAAATATTCCATCAAAGTCCACTGAGGACAAAAGAATGGATAAGGACGTTATCCAAGGATGGACACTTAAAGACCACGTGAGTTTGTGAGACCCTAACATGCAGCACTGTGGTGCTCCTTGCAGGCTTCTCCCGGGTCAGGACTCCAGAGGCTGGAAAGGAACAGAGCAAACTGGTGACAAAGAGTCTGACCAATTTCATGCCTGTGCTGTGACAGTGGAGAACAAAATGCTTTCAGCAAGGATTTGAAAATCCTCCCGGCGGGAAAGGACTGATGTTGCTATCAGGAGAAGAGTCTGGACAGATGTAATGAGAACTGAAACTGAAGAAAACAGATGACTAAGGAAGAATTGCAGCCAGGGTCTCTGTGTCAGGCCCTGGGACTTAAGTTCAACCTGAACTTTTTTTTTTTTTTTTTACCTTAACCAAACTGGGAAGAGGGGGGAGGAGGACAAAGGAGGGAGGGGAGGCTGGGGAGGGAGAACACCATGCTCTATTGTTTACTGAATTTTTTATTTGAACTTTCAAGATGTTTCCAAGGTTCAATGCTGTCTATTTGTATAGATTTTTAGAGATCAGTAATTGATTTTTTATTTGCATTTATACAGTGCCTGAAATGTATACCACATGGGTGTAAGTACAAAGTCTAGGAGCTGCCCTACCTTAAGCAGCCCAGTAAAATCTACGCCACCTTCTGGTTTGTACAGGGTTTTTATGCATTTCAATCTGGTTGCACAAAAGTTAGAATAATGGGTCCTTCAGAAAACCAACGTACTGTGAAAGAATTTATATATTTTTAATCTTCTAACTAATGCCAAAGTATAATCTAATTAAATTTCTTACAGCTACTGCAGTGAGCATTAGAAAGTGAATATGATATACTAAATAGTTTATAAAGATGCTATGGTTTCTATAATTTATTATACGTGACAAATGATATGCAACCATAATAAATTATTATAAACTTGATTGCCCTTTGTCTGTGATGATTAGAACCAAAGAAAAAAATAAGATGGTAAATTATTACTATAAACTTCTATAAACTATTAAGAACTTTCCTGAGGATTTTACTTTAAGGGTAAAAGGTGGTTTTAGACTAGCTTTACATTAATTGCAAACTTTTTCAAACCAAATTCTTACATCAAATATTTAGGATGTTTCTTACCAACTTTAAAATATAAGATATAGACATAAAAATTTATTGACTGATTTATCAACATTGTTTTTGTGTATCCATTGAGGGTGAGTTTTAAGGGACTTTTCTCTCCATATATTTGAGATTTTTCCTCTGTGGCTACAGTAACTCTATACATTTGTGCATTTACTTCTCCCCAAACAATATATTTTGGGGTTAGAGTCTGAATTATTATCAACACTCTACGGATTAGCAATGTTTATTTAATACAAACCAATATGGGAATAACATTACAGTTGTTGCTTATTTCCTCATAAAACTATAATAAAACAGTTCTAAGAAGGCATATATCAATGCCTACTACACTTTCCTATCAGATAGAAATAAAAATTTTCCAGAAATTAAGTGTTTTAGAAACATCTACAAAGGCTTTTGAAACTGCTGATCACAGTAAAACAAAACAAGTAAATAATCTAAAATCTTTTGAGAGTGTTGCAAGTCAAGATTTTAAATAATACATTTTTAAAAATGAAACTAAGCGGTCAAATCTATCTTCAAAAGTTAATTGATTCAATCACCAAATATAATACAAAAATCACTCTATTTAAAAGGAATGTTTTAGGTGAGAGCATCTATGAAAACCACAAATATACAGAAATGTGTGTGCATTTTTCTGGGAGGAGTATTTGTAACTTCCATCAGATTGTAAAGAAAATCATGGTACCAAAATAAATTAAGAACAAAGGAGGAAGGGCTTTGACAGGTGGGAGGCTCAGCTGGTCATGGTATTTTGGGACAATCGAAGTGAAGCCCGTATAGAGGTCCCCTGCTCCATGACCCTATGTCCCCATTCTTACCAGCAGAGCTTGCTTAATGAGCTCACCAAAAGTCTTTGTCCCAGGTGCCAGGAATAAACTTCCTACCTCTGACAGGGCCTTTCAGTGGCACATTTTTTTCCCCCTCTCTCCATCTGGAATCCCCCAAAGACATTGATAAACCACTTGGGAAGGAAACTTAGCAACTTAGTTCTCCCGAATACCTATTATACTTTGTGCTTGCAATGAAAAAGTTTAACTTATTTTCTTTTCAAAGGTTTTAGACACATCTTGGGTACCGAACATAGTTCAAAGGTTAAATTTATTTTACATATTCATGACTATGTACTCTACCTCAGGTATTTTCAATAGAGTACAATATAAATCTTACCCACTTTTCACATTAACATGTGCTAATTTAGTTTTCTTGCAGTCCACTATCATTATTTTCTGATTGCAAGGCCATTTCATGGAAAATGAATTAAAAAGCAATTGGGATATGATTTACAACAGTGTGGAGAATAATAACTCTTCCAGGATATTTTTAGACAAACACGCTGCCTTTTCCCTTCCTGGTGAACATACATTGGATCAATGTGATTGTACAAGGATGACTTTTAACTGCATAAAACTTTTATTATTTAATGTGAGGTAAAAGTAAACATCATTACAGCAGGTAGAATTAGTTCAGTTCAGAAACTCTTCTATGGCACAGGGATGGCCAATTATATCTGAAGATATCTCCTTGTAATGGAAGAAAAGTAAAAGCAGCAAAGGTGAAATAGTTTATTAATAATATTTATATGATTAGGATGATAATAACAACTTCTATTGAGTTTTGCTGCTTACCAGACATTTTCTAAGCTGTTTTCATGCATTAGATCACTTAATTAGTACCATGGCATAAAACCAGGTCTGTATGCGTACGGGCGCATGTAAATAGTGTAATAAACCTGAGGCAGAAGGATGGAGAAACATGCCCAACGACACGCAGCTGATGAGGCCAGGACTGAAAACCCAGGAAGGCCTGCTGCAAAGCCTTGATTCCTAGCCGCTCGATTAGACTGCTTCTCTAAAAGAAACTAAGCTGCTTCTTTTCTCTTTAAAATGACAATTACTTGTACACTAGTCAGTCAGAAAGACAGGAAGTCATGGCCTCGGAGACAATCAATTTGATCTGATTTGTGTCTATTTATTTGTCACTTGTGTTACATGGAGGAAAGCTTCCTAGTTTAGCCATTTTAATTGTATCAAGTTTGCTTAGACGTTACCTTTCAAGTCTGCAGTTGTCAGTTAACTGCTTTGGTCTCAGTTTGCTCGTCCAGGGAGATCAGACACTACAGATTCATTATTTCCTTTCATACAGTGTTAGCATTTCACTCAGTTTACATCCCTGGTCCACAGAAAAAGAGATTTGTTTTTGTTTTTTGTTTTTTTTATCTGTAGGAGTCTCCAATAGATGGGAATTACTGGGAAAGAGGCCCAGGACAGATGCCTGCCTGATATTTTTTCCCACCGTCACAGGGTAATCAGGGGGTGCGATGTTGCCTTGGCAAGCGTAATCAATAAACAAATGATTAAGCCATAGTTTAGGAATTTCATGGCCTTTCAGGGTTCCCCATCTTCCCTTCCAAATGTCACAGAAGGGTTTCCCAAAAGGGCGTATAACTTAGTTAGTTCCCTTTCTCACACATGGGGAGTGGAATCAGGGTTTGCACCTTACCCGTTCATACAACAAAAATATACTAAGCACCCACATGTGTGGGCCACCATGGTCAGAATGGATCTCTAGCCTTTTTGTCAGAGGAGCCAAAAAGCCAGAAACGAATTTAAAATCAGTATCACACACACACTAAATATTTACACTCCTCCAGAGAGCATGGCAGTTCACTTTCCTGAGCCTTTGTTTCCTTGTCTGTACACAGCAGAATTCTGATAAGCAAATACAACCAGAATGGTTCTGGGGTTTTTTCCAACTCTGCCTTAAGCAAATTCCTTTTTAATTTCTGGATTTTTATCTGTAAGGGAAAAGAAATAGATCAGAATGGATGATGTCTGTGAGCTCTTTCAAAACTCACATTATGCATAAATGGGGAATAGTGACCTCCTCACATGATAGGCCTTCTTTCAGTCAGTACTCCATATGTGGCAGGAATTTCCCTTGAATAAAACAGAAGCCTCATTTAAAGTTTTGATTACTAATAATGGTTACTGAAAGCAGAATGTGAGCGGAATAATTTTCTGCAGATCCACCTGTGTTTTTTAATATTCTGCCCTTGCCCTAACTGGTGTAGCTCAGTGGATTGAGTGCCAGCCTGCGAACCAAAGGGTCGCCAGTTCAATTCCCAGTGTAGGGCAAATGCCTGGGTTGCAGGATAGGTCTCCAGGAGGGGGCGCATGAGATGCAACTGCACATTGATGTTTCTCTCTCTTTCTCCCTCTGTTCCCGTCTCTAAAAATTAATTAATTAATTAATTAATACATCTTAAAGAAAAATATTCTGCCTCTTTTTTGATGGGTGCCCATGGTAAAGCCAGCTGTTAATATGACTACCTCTTTCACACCCAAGCAGTGACAGGCACTGAGAAAACCTCCATTGTGGGTGGAAATCATAATCACCTGTGGCATTTTTAAAAGTATAGATTCCTTTCTCTGTCTGACTTATTTCACTTAGTTTAATACCCTCTAGTTCCATTCATGTTGTCATGAATGGTAAGATTTCATTCTTTTTTATGGTCAAATATACATGTGCCACCTCTTCTTTACACATTCATCTTTTGATTGAAGCAATTCATCTAATTACATTTAAGGTAACTATTGATAGGTATGTAGTTATATCCATTTCATTAATTGTTCTGATTGTTTTTGTAGTTCTTCTCTGTTCCTTTCTTATTCTCTTGCTCTCTTACCTTATAGGTTGATGACTTTCTATAGTGTTGTGTTCGGATTCCCTTCTCATTATGTATTGCATATCTTTTGTAGATTTTTGGTTTATGGTTACCATGTGCTTCATATATGTCAAGTATGATATGATTTTATTTATATGTACAATCTAAAAAACAAAGTAAATGAGCAAACAAAACAGAAACAAACTCAGAGATACAGAGAACAAACTGATGGTTGCCAGATGGAAAGGGGTGAGGGGCTGGGTGTAAAAGATGAAGGGATTAAGAAGTACAAATTGGTAGGTACAAAATAGTCACAGGGATGTAAAGTACAGCTTAAAAAATGTAGTCAATAATACTGTAATGACTGTATATGGTATCAGGCAGGTGCAAGACTGTTGGGGGGATCACTTCAAAAGTTAGATAAATGCCTAACCAATATGTGGTATATGTGAAACTAATACAGTATCAAGTGTCAACCACAATTTTAAAATGAAAACGTTTTAAATACATAAATAATTTTAAAAAATAATAAAAATATAGATTTCTTGCCCCATACTCTAAGCATTGGGCCTAGTAATGGGTATTTTTACAAAGATCCACATGTAGTTAACTATGAAGAGCACTGGATGTTTTTTATGTTACAATTGCATCTTCTGTTGATTTCATGGCATTAACTAGAGTTTTTCTTACCATATTAATTCTTTCATTAATTGAAAATCATACCCCAACAAGAACATATTTTAAGAAGAGCATAATTTTTCTTGAATTTTAATAATTGCAGTGTGTGCAGATTAATTATTTTTCACAGGATTTTTTTCTCATTCAATATCATTCTGATATTTGTCTATTTTGATACATATGTTTTACCAAAAGAAAAGCTCCTGCTTCCTAACCACTACCTTTTCTTCCCATTCTCCTGTAAGTTGTCCATGTTATTATGTATGTCCTGGTTTTATCACCTGAAAGATTTGGGAGACCCCGCTGACCCCAGACAGTAAGGAGTTGCAGTGTCCAAGTGCTGTTTAAAAGGGCATCTTCCCTATACTAACATCGCGCAACACACCTGGCAGTGCTGTTGTTTCCACACCTACTCTTACCAGAATCTCCTCGCTAAATTCCCATAAGCCACATAGCCTTAGCAATTAAAATATGTTTTCCAAGTGAATGAATGGCCTTTCTTCCCATGAAATACATCTACCATTTGCCTGCTATCCTGGAGAGTTCATTTCTTAATCCAGACAAGTTATTCTTCTAGAGTTAGTCTTTTAAAAAGGAAGGCTTAGCACTGGTCACTAACAATCAGTTATATAACTGGAACTTAATAAAACAAATTTCTTCCTAACAGCAAATGTCTTCCACTGAGATAATGTGGTTTTACTTTTAAAGAAGAAGAACAGGGAGATTGAAATCAGGAATAAGGGGACACAAAATGGGGAAAGACAAAAACAACCAAGGGTGGTGGGGGCCTGAGGAAAAACATCTGCAGCCCGATTTTCTTAGCGCTGGTTTTGGCTGTTAGATAGCTACATAGTTGGATGTGCCGTGTGGCAGATGGTAG